TGGCCATTGCTATTAGGTTAGCGGCCCTCGCTAGTAGGTTGGAGGCCATTGCAATTAGGTTAGTGGCCATTTCTATTAGGTTAGCGGCCCTCGCCAGTAGGTTGGAGGACATCGCTAGTAGGTAGGAGGCCATCGCTAGTAGGTTGGAGGCCATTGCTATTGGGTTGGAGGCCATTGCTAGTAGGTTGGAGGCCATTGCTATTTGGTTGGAGGCCATCGCGAGTAGGTTGGAGGCCATTGCTATTGGGTTGGAGGCCATTGCTATTAGGCTGGAGGCCCTCGTCGCTATTAGGTTGAAGGCCATCGCTATTCATTAGGTTGGAGGCCATTGCTATTAGGTTGGCGGCCATCGCTAGTAGGTTGGAGGCTTGGAGGCCATTGCTATTAGGTTGGAGCCCATCGCTATCAGGTGGAGATTCTTCAAACTATGTGGAGTAGCTACTCAGGTTGTCTCGCTTCTCACGCGCCTGCCGAGTTGTCTCCACGTTGGGAGAGTAGCTGTCCCAAGCGTTCTGGCAACAACCGACTCTCAAACTCTAAGAGCTTTCTGAGAGCTTATTGCAAAGGGCATCGCTACTAGGAGCATGGACGCTACTAGGGGCTCCTGGCCGTACTACTAGGAACAAGAAGCTACTACAGTAGGGCCTCCTGGCATCGCTACTAGGAGCAAGGACGCTACTAGGGATATCATCAACGAACTCATGGCATGCCACGTGCCTTGAAGGCTGCGAATGCTTGCTTCAGTTCCAAGCCTCCCACGTCTTCTCGAAGCCACTGCCTCACAAATGGTCAACGGACAAGATCCGATGCCTGATATATCTATATATAATATTACATATGATTATATTAATATATGTGTGAGACCATCTGGAAAAACACAAAGACTGACTACGACAAATGACTGCAAATAGTCTTCCTTTTTCATTGAAGAACTGCAAACATGCCTGTGGGCCGATGTGAGCAAGTCCGTCTTTTTCCACCAATCACCTCTCCAGGTCCCGGTTGAAAGCCAAACAACGCCAAGACGAAGGCCTGGCCCGGACTCTGCGGGCTGAGTGGGCTGAGCGGGCTGCGCGACGCGACGCGGGTTGCGCGACGCAGCGGGTGCCGCTGTGCTACGCTTGCTGCTATCCTTTCTTCCAAGAGCACACAAAAAATTCCCAAAAATTCCCAAATGCGTGCTCGGAAGTGGGAGGCCATCGCTAATAATCCGCACACAGGATTAACCAACCCCCCTATGAGTCAAGCCCAGCTGGAGCCTCCAATACTAAACTAACTAAAAGCCTGCAACCTCCCCCTGATAATTCTTGTTCCTTGCCAGAATCCCCCCTATTAATCAAGCCCAGTTCCCCAGAAGAAAAGACATTGGTTTTATATGTATTTAGTATTATTTTCTTTTTGGGCAGTATCCAATATCTTCTGGTCCATGGTCAACATCATTCTCATCCTCCTTCTGCTTCTCATCCTGCTTGTTCTTCTCACCCTTCCCTGTTAAAACACAAAAAACTCACTAGTAAAATCATTACAAGTAAAGTTATTGCATTTTCACTTATTAAAACTCCATCAAAATCTTAATGTTTTCAAGCTCACAAAGGGTACCTACCCCTCACACAGGCCCTACCTCCCTCTAATAGTGGGGCCCCTCCCCCTATTAATCAAGCCCACCCTCTGGCCTCCATCTTGTTTTCAATCTCTTTCATCCTGCAATCCTCTTTCTTTTCCTAATTATCTCAATCAAAGAAAGAATCTTGTCTTCTAATCTCTTTCATCTCTTTCCTAACCATCCCAATCCCAATCTTTCCTAATCTTGTCATCATCTCGTCATCCATCATCAGGTCATCACCTTTATTAGGGGGATGTGGTCTCCAATCCCTCCAATCCCAAACCTTGTTGACCTAGTTGACCTTGAACGGGGGGAGTGGGGGGGATTGATTAATCCGGTGTCGACATTAGGAAACCAAATTCGGTAGTGACAGTCGGCCGTTCTTCTTCCGCCTTGGGTGATCGAGGCACAAACCAACTTGCGGAAGAAGGTCTCGGAGCCCAGCACAAAAATCACACGTTCCAGTCCCGTGGTGCTGCCTTTGACCATGGCCTCAGCCATTGCCATTGCAGGTCCGTCAACGTCAACTGGTGGGGTCTGTCTGCGGGTCAAGGGACCATCTGGTTCTCGATTTCTGTCCAACGGCTTTCATAAGCACTCAGAGTTTGCACCGCAAATCCCATGTTTGTGAACTCCTGGGTGTAGGTCTCCTCAGCGGGAACCCGCACGGCACGGCTCCGTTCAGAGCGATGGCCTGATATCCCTCATGGCGTCCGATCGCTCCGTTCATAACGATGCCCTTTGCTACTAGTAGCAGCGTTCTTGTTCCTAGTAGTAAGAGCAGGAGCCCCGTTCGTAGCTCCTTGCTCCTAGTAGCGATGCCCTTTGCTACTAGTAGCGACCATTGCTCCTAGTAGTAAGGCCAGGAGCCCCGTTCGTTTCGTCCGATCGCTCCTTTTAAGGGAAATTAGTGGTGCGGCAACTTTCTCGCCGAGTGTCCATTTGCACCTGGTAAAAGGCAGGATCGCCAGAAATCACGAACAAATTCTTCCAGTCGTTCTTCGCTTTCCTGGTTTTCGGGTGCAAGGCGCATGGCGAATTCAAAACCCGATCGACGATTTTCGTTGCATTGAAAAGGTAAAACCGGCCAAGACCTAGGTGGGTGTGAAAAGGGCAAGTGGCTTGCTGTGCCCAAGGCACAACTCTTTGATGGTGTTCAGGATGCCTGGTGTCGTCACAGTGCCCATGCGTGCCAAAGCCGGATAGGCCAAGGTATCACTGAAGTCTGGCGATGCACATTCATAGCTCAAGAAGGGCAATCGCAAAGATGTGGCCAAAGATGAAATTGGCCGACAAACCCGATCACAGCCTCAGAGAAAAAACCTCCCTCCGAAGTTCCAACCGGTTCCAACTTTCAGAACTGGCGACAAAAAAAAAAACAATGTCCAAGAAATTGCAACAAGCAATTCCCGCTGTCAAATCAGATGGGCAAGAATCAGAACCACTAATGCAGCACCCCGTGGAACGGGCAAAAGCAATGGCCTCAAACCTAATATTGGCTGTGCCTGCTAGCTACTGCTGTCTCAGTTTTAAATCCGGCAGTCAAGCTTGTCTTTGACTGCAAAGTGGCCCATGCCACCGATGGCCACATAGGTGTCCTTTGCAGCCATGGCAGACACGACGATATCTGAGCCAACACTCTCGTCGCACTTGTCGTCAAAGATCACATGCCTGGGCGCCCCGCGATGCCCCGGGTCATGGCCATCTGGTCTACTCCCACGAATATTTGGGATCATTTGGGCACTGAATTCGGTCTCCCAGGCACTGCAGTCGATATCCTGGGAGGAGCAGCTGGTCCTGACCAAATTTGGAGGAAACAACTGGATTCCACTGAGCATCTCAGGTCGTTTACCCTTGTTTAACCTGAAGCCAAAAGAAGACTAAGGTTGGAAACTTGGGTTAAACAAGTTTATATATATATAGTAGGCCTCAGCACCTTGACCTACCACAGGTCAGTTAGACTGCGTGCTTTTCATCGGCAATTCATTGGACAATATCAAGTTTGGTTTGTTGGCTAGAAAAGAGTTCTTTATGCAAGGTTGGAGGCCATCATCGCTATTCATCGCTAGTAGGCTGGAGGCCATCGCTCATAGTTTGAGGTCCTGGTTGATGAGTCCCTCGGCCAGCCGTGCCGCAAGGCGGAAAGTGGTGCCAGCGGCCCAACTTCCAGTCATCGGCCTGTTCGAGCTGACAAAGCTGCCAAGGTAATACCACGCGTAACTGACAGAATTTGGCCATCTTACTTGCTCCAAACGTCTCTATGACAACATTACTCATGCATGCGTGTTATTTTTGTGCATTTGCTTGGTTTTAAGCCGACGTTCTCGACGTATCAAAGGATGCACACATAATGCCGACCGCCTTTAGTGTAGCCTACCCTAGGCAGGAAGCCACAGGCCGAAAAAGTACAGCGCGTGCGAAAGTGTGGGGTGTTGTCATTTTGCAGTCCAGCAGCAATGGTGCCAGCACTTCGAGTGCCAGCATGGTCGTGGTGCGGGTTGTGGTGGAGAAGAAGGAATCCAAAGATTTTGCTGCTTCCTCGTGACTTCAAGGCGCAAAACACCATCCAAACCTTTCCATCTGGCAAAGAAATACAGTATTCGAATACATCTTGATACCTACATTTAAAGATCCAAGCATCAATTGTAGTATCTGCAAGTTCAACAACACCTTTCAAATCTGATGAGTCCACTGCCGCACCCTGGGAGACGGACTGGATCGTGGGCTTCCTGAAGCTTGGCGTGGGTTCGTGTACTAGTAGCGACCATTGCTCCTAGTAGCTTCTTGTTCCTAGTAGTAAGGCCAGGAGCCCCTAGTTGCTTCTTGTTCCTAGTAGCGATGCCCTTTGCTCCTAGTAGCTTCTTGCTCCTACTAGT